TGTCTATGACCAAAGACTGTGGTCTATGACCACAGATGTCATAGTCACTCAACAGTTTTCCTTAGAAGTTATGACTTAGTCACTCAATCACAGCATAAGCCATGATTGGTGATATGGGAAAGTAAGTAAGTCTGAAAAAGAAGGATTTTAAAATTTGGATAGAAAAGGAAAAGGATATTTCCACAAAGACACTGAACACTAAAAGTTTATATTTAGATTTTGAAGGAAAAAAAAGTAATGAAGATCTTTGGGATTTGAAAAAAGTGATAAAATACATTTAAAAACTGATACAGGTTTTTGACCAGAGGAATAAGTAGAAAATTTAAATCACTGATCCTGGGATCCCTGATTTACTGACAACTGAGCCAACGAGGCAATCACAAAACCATACTTATAAAAGTGTGTAATGACTAGAGGTATCCAACTCAAACATTACATTACTGGGACTGAAGAATGAAAGTGAGAAAACCCATCTGTATTTGGGTAAACTCTTCGTTCTCCTATTATACCTCATACCTCTTAACTTGGTAAACTATCTTACAAATAGGAGTCACTGGTCACAAGAAAGATTAATGTATAAAGAAGTTTCCAGGTAAATCCCACCACTAAACACAAGTACTACATACCGGTAGGTTTCTACTAACGACAGCACACGCAGTCTTAAAAAATTGTTTTTAGAGAAAACAAGATTGTAAAATATCCCTCCTAGAGTTGGAGAGGATAGGAACACATGAAATGGGACAAAATAAGACTCCAACCCAAGGCTTCAAATATAAAGTGAGTTGTCACTTTGTATCCCTTTGTATATGGGCAGTAACAATGTAAAGAAACTTAACAGAAAGGGAAAAATACAATAATCCTCATCAACATTCCTTCCAACCATAGCACATGCCCAGAATACTTCATATGGGCAATTCCCATAAATTCTGAGAAAAATATGATTCTTTCTTATTTGTCCTGATCAAAAGATAACACAGATATAGATAAAACAGTATTAAACGAATTAGTAATTTTCCCTGTGTTTTAATTTTTGCATACTTCAGTTTTATGAGCTCACAGTGTAAGTAACAAAAGCAAATGTCCTGGCAGGGCCAAAGAATTCTAACTTTATCTTTCCTTAATAGGCATTCAAATGAAGAATTACAGTATAATATGTAAAGATGCAAGAGTTAATAAATGGAACATTTTCTAATATCTTGTATCACAGTAGAAAATGGCAACATAACCATACAATTGTAGTTATAGGATGCTAAGGTACTGTTACAGTAACAAATACAAAGATTACAATGAAATTGAAAACTGGGCAGGAAATCAAATCCAATTAATTTTTTTTAAAACTTATCTTTAAGAAGTCAAATGACCGATTTCAAATCCCAGATCTGAGCCTGAAGAACTCTGACATTTATTAGTAAATTACTTATCTAACTTCTATATACACCATTATCTAAAAAGTGAGACCAACAGTATATCTCATGATTCTGGGGAAGGAATTAATAAATGGAAAAAGGTAAAGCACCTAGTACAGTGTCTGGTGCCTTGCAAACACTCAGCACCTGTTACCTATTATCATAATTATGATGCTAATCATCTCAGGAAACAGATTCCCATGTTGGGCAGGAATGAGAACTTCAAGTCCTAGACCATGGAATTTTGCATTTAATTAATAATTTTGAGGTTATCAAGAGTATGAAATTGGAAAATATGCCATTCAAAGGGGGAAAGATGATGAATCCATGAATACAAACACTAAAAAGAGTATGTGGATTTTTAAGGATAAAATGTGGTTGACTTAATAATTCACTTCCTCAAAGTGCAGAATTACACATGTATGCAAAGTTAGCTGGGAAGAACTCAGAGAAAACATGAATGCAAGTTTATCTGCATTTTATGGAAGTGTGTAAATTTATAAATTTTATGCAAGTTAATTTGTAATAAAACTGATTTATAGCAGGCAATGTAGCTAAAACATGTAAGGCCACCAATGTCTTTAAACATTTCCTCTTGACTGTACATTTTATATTTATTAGTTGCTAGATATAGTAATAATTCTCAGGAAATTAAAATCTGTCTTTAGATACCAAACTTAAAAAATAAGATATATTAAAGTACAATCTGTAATTACAATTACAAATTAACATAATGACACCATATTACATTAATGAATAGATACTAGCCACTATACTTTCAATTTATCCATCTTTAGTAATTTTCATGCTAATGCATAAAACCTAGAAATATTTCTTAAGTATACATGCAGTGCCTTCATATTGGAATGACATGCATCCTACATCTAAAATGGATTCACTCTGAACACATCAAAACTCTTAATCCAAAGAAAACCATATTTGGAGCAGATGGCCCTAGAATAAAGACTGTATTTTAACATTATTATTCGCTTAGGAAATGCTTTGTAAAGATTTTATGAGGTACAAGGCAATGTTTCTTCATATCTTAAATAAAATACCCACAGGGCTCTATAAGTAGTACTTGTGACCAACACTTTCCAAGTTAAAAGAAATATGTAAGCATTAAAGTAGTCACGCTGGTTGTTACTAAGTCTAACTTTTAAGTTTTCATAATAAATAACAAAGGCAAAAATGAAAAGTGAACAGAGCTGTTTCAATCTTAGGGTTTAGGCTTCTTGATTTTTGTTAATTCTGAATTTTGAGCTTTAGTCAGTTTTTCAGAAAGAAATCATTCCTAGCACTTATTTTATTTAGTTTATACTGCATGTGCTCAGGAGAGACAGCACTATACTTTGGAATATGGTACTTTTGTCTTTTGTCAAAGTCTGAATTCATTTGTTATGAAGCTGTTTGACTTGTTTAGTTTTTGAAGGCTATTCTATCAATTTGTTGAACAAAGTTCCCATTTTACTCCATAATTGTAATATTTCTCCATAGAAGTTCATTTTTAAAAATTGTTCTTTACTTCCCATCTTTCCCGTCCACATCACCAGAAAGGCAACTCAATCTACAGCAATTTTCTAAGTCAGATGACTATTTAAAACTTTTTCATTATAGAAAATATTCTTCCATCAATACAGATCTTTGGAGGTTTTCTTAAAAATCAACTGTAATTAAATAAAACATAACAGCACTTTTTCTACATACATTTGTTTGAGAATTAAATTTTCTGTCATGGAATCAAAGGTCAACCATTCTTTTTCATCCACCTTCAAATTAAGTAACTTGCTTTAAGCATGTGAGAGAGAAAAAAAGCAAAAAGAGAGGATATTTCTTATATTCCAGTCAGTCACTTTGCAAGCAAAATCACCACAGCAAGTTGTCTTCTAAAGCAAACCAGCTTCACCTTTTAGTAAGATTGGCATCTAAACTATCATAGATTAGAATACCGCTTAACTTTAGTCCCTGCTCATAAATTATAGTTAATGCCAAATCTCTAGTGACCAAAACTACCAATCTAGGACCCAGAATGCTTCTACACAAAGTCACTCTAGTAAACTGAAATGAAAATTTTGACTGCAGAGTCAAATGAAACAATTCTACATTGGTAAGTTTAAGAGCATAAATGTGGAGGGTTTTTATTTTATTTTTTTCGAGAAGGTCTTACCTTTTTGCTGAAAGTATGGAACTGTTTGCATACTTTACTTTTTCATGAAATATAGTTTTCTCCAATGTCCCCATAAAATTGACAAGCACAAAATATATATTGAAGTCACATATTGTCCTATAGCCAAACATGCTCTACTGGAAACATTTTTCTATACGTTTGTAAATTGTGTTTCACAATGGAAATAGCTATTTTTCATGATTCCTTCCACGTGCATCTTCTGTTGCCAACAAAGTGTAGTAAGGTTGGATATTACTTACAGAAGTTACATTCAAGAGGAGATGAGAATTTATAGATTACTAGATCTACAGGAAGAAGGTACAAATGCATGCACTATGGCTACATCCAAATATTTAAAAATTTAAGATATTAGTTGATATTCAATGAACTAAAAAAATGCAGTAAACTTACAAATGCCTATTTAAAACCACAACTAATACAGGCCACCGCAACTCTACAGAATCAAAGAGAATAAAAATCAAGTTCTTGAGAACAAAAAAATATTTCCAAACATCCCCTAGTAAAATTCCCTAGTAGTTATGCACTCCTAGTTAATTTCCTGAAGTTTCGTGGCATATATTCAGGTCTTTGAGGACTTAAATACAAAGAATTCTTTTAAGTAGCAAAGTTGCTAATGTTTTTAGGCGCTGAAGCATCTGGATTCCTGAATTTATCCCCATTTATAGAAAGGGAGGGGGTCCAGGAATATTCCCGATGGCCAACTTCTTTAATGCATCGCTCAGATATCTTAAGGTCTTCCTGAAACTTTTAGGTCTAAAATTTTCTCTGAAATTCACAAAGACAGGGCCACCAAAAAACAGTTGCCATTGTGATATGGTGCTGACTACTGCTTCTTACTACTCTTTCTCCACACCCCTCGTCCAGAACAGGGGCGCTCTCCCAAGTCCCAAAGCTGGGCCAGAACACTGGATCCAAAGGAGACCTGAAACCCTCTTGGCGAGGCAGGAGGCAGCCCCGATGGAGCGCCCCCAGCTCCTCCACAACTACCCACACGTCAGGCCCAGATACCGCCGACAGAGTACATTTGGGAAAGAAGGAAAAAGCGTTTCCTGTCACTTAGAACCCATTCTGGCCCTTCCCGCCGGGATCTCGTTTGTACCTGCCGCCGGCACTCGCCCATTTCTTTCCCTGGCCGGGCTTGGCCTCAGAAGGGCTCCCTCTTCTCCTTGCTTCTTTCTCATCCCGGTAGGCTCCAGGGCCTCTAATCGGAGACCGAGCGGAGCTCCAGGGGCTTCCTACAGGCCCTAAGTCTAGTCCTTCCCTCCCAAACAACATCCCGCCGAGTGCGTCCTGGACACCGGGAGCAGAGCTCCGAAAGAGGGCCCCAGGCCTGCCTTCTTGGAGACACCGAGAAGAAAAGGGAGGGAAGGCAGGACGAAGATGGGGCCTGCCCTGGAGCCAAGTACCTTGTAGAAAGCGCCATTGGAGCCCCGCACCTCCACCACCAGCTCCTCCATCTTCTCTTCAGCCTTGTTCGCGCCGGGAGCCCGCCCCCGAGAGGTGGGCAGCGGGCGCTCAAGGCCCAGCCGCCGCCGCCGCCGCCGCCGCCGCCGCCGCCGCGCTGCCGCACGCCCCCCGGCAGCGGCGCCGCCGTCACCGCCGCCGCCCGCGCTCGCCGTCTGCTCGCCGCCCGCTCTAAGGCGGCCCTTCACCGGAAGTGAAACCGAAACGGAGACGAGCGCCTGACTGAGGCCGAAAGCTCGGCCAGCGCCTCGTGTAAACAGTGAAACCGCGTCACGTGATTTATGCCGCCCCTCCCCCCGCGGGTTCGGCCCCCTCGGCCCCGCCCTCTTCTTCCTCACGGGCTGGGGAGGGCGTGCGTGCGCGCTGCTGGGAACTAGCTGGGACCGGGTCCGGCGTAGGGCGCGCGGGTTGGACGTGCGCGGGCTCGGTGTAGGGCGGGAAGGCGCGAAGGGCGGTGACAGGTCGCGCGGCCTAGCATCTACTGGGGAGGGCCAGAGCGCCGATTTGTGTAGAGCTGCAAGGGGGCCGTGGGAAAGGGCCTCCTATGGAGATCAACTGCATCCTGGGGCCAGGCAAGGATTAGACGGGGCTTTGATTTGGTTCACTTTTTTTTTCTCCCAAAGTAGCGCAGAGCCTGATTGAATTGGAGGTGGGACAAGAAAGGTGATGAATTAGATTTGAAAAGACTTTGAACTGTAACAGTGGCAAGCACACTGACCCTTCAAGGTACAGGGCAGAGAATAACACCCTTCCCCACTAAGAGATCTTGGGTTGTCTTGTGGGTACATTCTGTACCTTCTGAGTGGCACCGGACCACATACTCCTCTTTCCTCAATTCATTTTTATATTTTTCTTGACCTTGATGCAAAAAGAATGTGTTTTGTGCTTATTAATTCCTTTACAGTGCGTTTCTGCCCTTCTCAATGCCTACCTTGCACCAGAGGGTGTGCATGTATGTAGCACTCATCTGGCCAGTCTACAGGGGCAGTTGCACCTTTTTCTTGCAGTTCTCCGCCTTTACCCTCTACAGTAGCGCCAACCATAACTTTCCCATTCCTGCCTCTTCACTGAGCTCATATCCACATTGACCCATATTCCCTTTGTCTACAAGACTTGCATTCAACTAAGAAGTTTATTAAGTGCAAACCATGTGCCAAGCACTGTGGTAAGTGCTAGTGAGACATTGGTAACCAAAATGACTGCCAGCATTGAACTTGGAATCTAGAGGTGTAGATAGACATAAATCAAATTATCACAAAATCAATATAGATTTACAACTGTGATAAGGGCTATGAAGAATAGGTACACCTATTATAGTGGGACCTGATCCAGTCTGGGGAGCAGGAGGGGTGTTGCTAGAGAAGGGAATGATTCCGGTGGGAATATGAGAGGTAAGAGTTAACTTCAAGGGGGTGGGGTGGGGTGGGGGGGGTGTTAGGGGGAGTGAACTGCCTCAGGCAGGTGTCCTAAAATGAGAGGCATGTTGGTCCTCCAGTTCCTTTCCCACCTGACTCACAGAAAGAACAACAATGTCCTTGCTGGTGGAACTCCAGCTTTAAAGCAGTAGATCAAGGGCCACAATCCTTGAGGCTAAAACAGAAATGCCCCATTGTACTAGGGTCATTGGCGTAGTCACAATATATGAAAACTCTAATAGGGCTGAAAGAGAATCTCACCACAGTCTGAAAGAGAGCAGAGTGTTATCTTTAACTCCAAAGTAGTAAAAGGGGACATGTTGGAAAGATTATACCTTCCGTAAGATGTTGTGCAATTTGCCCAGGGCTTTGAAACATGTCTGCTCTTTACAACTGTTCCTGAACCTAAGATGCAATTTCATGCCTTCATGTGCCTGGACATGCTTGCAGGCCCCATAAACACCCTTCACCTTAAGGTTATCAGCTGAATTCCTATTTGGTAGTTATTTTACCTCCGGTGCAGAGTTGAGTTAACTTTGCTCTTCAGTTCTCAGCATATTATCATCATCAGTTCCTACCTGGCTCTTCTTGTTTATATTTTTTAATTGAAATTATTTTTCCTCATCATTCTCAATCCCCATTGTCTTCTAGACATAATCTACAACATGTTTGCTATAGCTTTTTGATAATTTTGGACAAGTCGTGTTTTGTATACGTCTTCTGCATTTATGGAAACTGTTTCCACTAACACTATTTCTGAGCTATATCCACATTGCTGTGGGTACAATTGGTTTGTTATTTCTAATTGCTTTTGTGTATGCCATAGATTTTACTGATATGTATTCCTAGTGATACAGTATCTAGATTATTGCCAACACTCTGATATCATATTATAGTGAAAAATCCTTGTGAATTAAGTTATGGACCTTTGCAAACATTTCTTTGTGCTTTTAAAGAACACTGTGTATACCTCCTGTTTCCTCATTGTACTGCCTATATAGCAGGGACTCAGATGTTGAATGCCTCTATTATGACGCATAAAGTACTAGACTCATTTATCTACATTTCTGTTTCCTTCGTTGGACTCTCCATTCCCTTCAGGCAAGGAAATTGTCTTGTCTTTGGGCTCTAGGCATACTAAAAAATATTTGATTTCAGAATATGTTCAATGAATGAATAAATGCTAATCCCAACTACGTTCACACACTTTAACTTAATCTTTCCTTGTTCACTCCATTTCTCAGTCTTGCTCTGATCACTAGCTTTTTAATTTCCCCTTTTCAAGATAGACCATCTGAATTCAGACATTGGGTTCAGCCTTGCTCACGAACCTGCTTTATAGCCCAAAGTCTTCACACTTTGTTACTGGCAACACCTGCCTTTGCATTAGTTGCTCAGGCTGTTTAAAATTAAGTCATTTTGACTGTCTTTATCTCAGACACCTAATCCAATGACAAATCCTTTCAGAGTTCAGAATTGATTTCTTATCGCCTGCACTGTTAAACCTGTGATCTGAGTCGCCATTCTCTCTTACCTGGAAAATGGCTACAACTTCTTTACTGGTCTCAGTGTAGCCACTCTTGTCATTTCTCTGTCAACTCCCAACATAAAAAAAGAGAATGACCCTCTTCAGGTATCAAGCAAGTCACTCCTCACTCAAAACCTCCCAAGGACTCCCTCAATTTCTCAGGCAAAAGCCACAGTCATTAATTATTTATTCCAGCCTCAGTGTGCTACACAGAAGCTCTGGCTTCTGTTATCTCCTCTGTCTCACCTTCTACTTTCCTCCTTCACTCCATTCCAGCCACAGTGTTTTCTTTGCTGTTTCTTGAAAATACTGGATAGTTTCTGTCTGTCTCCCCTCACTAGAATGTAAGCTCAGTGAGAACAGAGATTTTCATTTATTTCATTTACAGCTGATCCCCAGTGCCTACTATGGTGTCTGGAACATATTAGATGTTTACTAAATATTATTGAATGGGTGAATGAGTGAATTGATGAATAGGTATTGAGGACGTAGCCAAGGTCAAGTCTGCTCCTGTGCCTGTATTATCTAATATTAGAAAGATGCTTCAGTGCTTCTATCCCTGCCTTGGCCACTGCCTTCCATTAAATTGCTGCCTGTTGTCTTTGCATTGATTAATTCTGTGTTATTTCCTGCTCTTTTTGCAACTTGAGCCCTCTGAGTCCTTTTTCATGCCTCAATCCCAGCTGAAATGCCTTCTGCCCTTTCCAACTCGGGAAATCCTATGTACCCTTCAGGACTCTGCTGTCTTCCTTCTTCCATGACACTTTCTCTGACAATTTCACCTCACCTTGACTTCTCCTTTGAATGAGATATTAGACAAAATGCAATGAGAACTTTTAGATTTACAGGAAATGTGAGCAGGTAGCACAGTTCCTACTCTTCTCACACATTGTCCCATGCAGTTTCCCCTATTACTAAAATCTTGTATTAGTGTGATACATTTAGTACAACTGATACACCATGATTAACTAAAGTGTATAGTTTACATTAAGGTTAACTATTTGTTCTGTTCTGCGAGTTTTGCCTAATGTGTCCATTCCACTACATAAAAAATTCCCTGTGCTTCACATGTTAATCTACACTACCTCCTAACCATTGGCAATCACTTATTTTTTTGTTGTCAGCGTAGTTTTACTTTTCTCAGAATGTGCCATAGTGGGAATTATGTAGAATGTAGTTTTCATTGTGTTTTATATTCCTCTATGTCTTATTATGGGTTGATAGTTTATTTCTTTTTATTGTGAAATAATATTCTACTGTATGGATATAATAGTTTGGTTTTCTACTCTCCTATTGAAGGACATCTTGGCTGCTTCCAGTTTGATTATAAGTAAACCTGCTGTAGTCTTTCTTGTGCATTTCGTGTGTGTGTGTGTGTGTGTGTGTGTGTGTTGGGGGGGAGCATTGGCTTTCAAATCACTAAGGTAAATACCAACCAAAGTGACTGTTGGGTCATATAGCAAAACTAAATTTGGATTTTTTTTTAAATGTCAAATGCTCTTCCAAAGTGGCTGCATCATTTTGCATTCCCACCAGCAATGATTGAGATTTCCTATTGCTCTACATCCTTACCAGATTTTGGTATTTCAGTGTTTTGGATTTTGGCCATTCTAACTGGTATGTAGTAGAATCTGATTGTTGCTTTAATTTATCATTTGCTAATGCATATGACATTGGGTATCATTTTATGTGCTTATTTCCATCTGCATATCTTCTGTGATAAGGTATGTGCTCAGATCTTCTGCCCATTTTAAAATTAGGTTGTCTTCTTTATGAGTTTTAATAATTCTTTTTATGTTTTAGATACCAGATCTTTACCAGATATGTGTTTTGCAAGTATTTTCTCTTAGTCATTGTATCGTTTTTTTCTCCTAATTAACAGTATCTTTTACAGAGTAAAAAGTTAAAAATTAAATTGAAGTTTTAAAAAATCAATTAAAAGTTAAATACTTTTGATATTGTCCCCAAAAAGTCATTATCAAACCTAATTTCACCTAGAATTTCTTTGTTAACTTCTAGAAGTTTTATTGTTTTGTGTTTTACATTTAGGCCTATGATTTATTTTGAGTAATTTTTGTGAGATGTATAAAGTCTGTGTCTAGATTTTTGTTTGTTTGTTTATAAATGTATGTCCAAGTATACCAGCGCCAATTGTTAGA